AGATTTAAAGAGATGTAGATCACTAGTGTAAATAATTGTAAGTTTTGTTTATGCTTATGTTTCTGTATTAACGATGACATCCCAAACGTTTTAAGATGAATAAAAATACGTTTCTTCGAAAATGTTTTAATAACATATTTATCGTGTTTTTCTGGGAACAAATTCCGCAACCTTTTTATAAAATGAAGTACTCTGATTTTTATAAAGCATAAACAAAATCGGTCTTTTCTGGCCGTGATTTTGGGGATGTCACACAAAACAAGGTAAAAATCAAAAATAGGGGGTATGAACTCACTTTGCTTTGAAGTTTTCAGTTTTTGGTGAGGAAATAAGGAGATCTCGGCCCTAGTAAACTTCTTGAGAAAATTTCTGAACTTAGGAAGTTCTAAGAAGAAAGAATCATGAAAACATGTGTTTATGAGGAATGATTTAGCGTAAAAATGAAGTAAATTAACTTGAGTTTACATGATTTTACCACAAGTATGAAGCTTGAAGTGATCTTCTTGAAAACCACTCAATACTCACGAATTTGTTGGAGAATGGATGAAATCTTCTTGGGTTTGAGAGGAAAGGATGAGAGGTTTCTCGTGTTTGAAATGAAAAATAATGGTGGTGATGAAGGCTCTTATGGCTGAGAGTGAGTAGAGAAGAGAGAGAAGGACTAAGCCTTGTTATTTGTGGGATAATCTCCCTCCTAGAAACATGAGACTTATTATGGATACATGAGGCTTAATGTGACATCCCCAATTTCTCGGCCAGAAAAGACCGATTTGTTTATGCTTTGTTTTATAAATCAGAGTACTCGTTTAAAGAAAACGATTGCGGAATTTGTTCCCAAAACAAGATATGATAAAAACTTATCAAAACATTTCTCAAAGAGAATGTATTTTCATTATATAATAAAACCTCGGGATGTCATTTTCCGATACAGACACATAAGCATAAACAGAACATACATTCATTTACTCTAGTGATTTACATCTCCTTTAATCTCTCAGTGCAAAGCAGCTTCTTATCGAAACCTGTGATACAATTAAACTGAGTGGGTGAGGCTTGGGAGCCTGGTGAGCATATAGGGTTTTCAACCCACAATAATATAATTATTATATTTAATCATCAAACAATCAACCCAATTACCCATCCTCGTTATCTCCATTTATTTCTTAAGTACCTTCCCTAAGGAATTATCCTAAGGGTCATCTCCTACATCGTATTTACCTCTCATCTCCTTACATCACATTTCCTTGTATGTTTGTTCCTAAGGACTTTTTCCTAAGGATCATCGCATGAATACGTAGCCACAACATCACCTGGACTTGTAATTCATAGTAAGGGTTAGAGTATCATCGCATCAATACGTAGCCACAACATCGTCTGGACTCGTAATTCATAGTAAGGGTTAGAGTATCATCGCATGAATACGTAGCCACAACATCGCCTGGACTCGTAATTCATAGTAAGGGTTAGAGTATCATCGCATGAATACGTAGCCACAACATCGCCTGGACTCGTAATTCATCACCTACAGGTTATGAGCCTGCTGGTGTTTCCACGGGGTCATCTAGAATAGTCCGTGGTCGCCATCTATACTATGGTAGATGACTACATCGCCAAATTGTCACATCGCCGGTCAAGGTTATGGTATCTCCTCTGATCTCACATCACCTATTTATCATCACCTATCTATCATCACCTATTTCTCATCACCTAATGATCATCACCTATTTCTCATCACCTAATTATCATCACCTATTTCTCATCACCTAATTATCATCACACATCATCTAATTTGTCTACTCATGTTCTACCCAACATATTTGTAGATATAAAATACATATACATATTAACTCATTTAATACCTATATAAAACATCCATTCCACACTCATCTCAAATAAACAACAATATATAAATACATAGCACGTATTTCATAGCAAATACTTAATATATATGTATATATATATATATATATATATATATATATATATATATATATATATATATATGTTAGAAGAAAGTGATCACATACTCACACGTATAAACAACAATATATATACACATAGCACGTATTTTATAAAATACTTCATATCTATGTGTAAGATGAAAGTGACTATACACTCACTTGATCAGAAGATGATCGGACAGCACTACAACTCTTCAAGTAGATATTCTTCGGTGAAACCGGGATCACTTCACACACCGGGTTTCTCGCGGGCAGAGCTTCGGCTCGGAAACTCTTTTCTTCTCGGGATCTTCGGGCTTTGGGACTTGCTTCGGGTCTCGGGGTTGATACAGGGGTTTCGGGGGTACTTCTTTGCATGTAAATCGATGTAATATGGGAGAGAGATGAGAGAATGAGCAACCAAACTCGGCTGGCCCTTCAAATCTATTTATAGGGCAAAACTGGCCCTTGCCACGTCGTGGAACCTTTTGCCACGTCGTGGGCTTGGTCGTCACCGCATGCGTCATCGTAAGTTGCATCTGGGGGAGTCCCGGAGGTATCAGGAGACTTTCCACGTCGTGGCACTGCTTGCCACGTCGTGGTCTCTGACAGTTTTGGGGTTTCGCGCCCCGAACTTCATAAATTCATAACGTTCGCAAACGATCTCCGTTTTCGACGTTTTTTATATCGACGAGAATGTGAGATTATGCTCTACAACTCTCGTTTAGACTCCATTGGCTAATTTTGACTTTATTTTTAATATATTATAATTATATTACTTATATATTATTTTTGGTAGGCCGGGACAGGAAAACTCCGTTATAAACTCATAACTTCTTAATCTGAACTCCGTTTTCATCTGTCTTTTTATCGTTGGACTACTATCGAAGAAATCTTTGACTCTCGTTTAGATCACTAAGTATAGATATATATCTACCTTAAATTCACTATTTACGTCGCGCTGGGTCGCGCTGGGTAATGCCGATTCAGTCGTGAAACTTCGACATGTCATAACTTCTTCGTTATAACTCGGATTTTGGCGTTCTTTATATGCACGGAAACCTTGTGACATATACTACAACTTGGTTAAGATTAATCCTTCTAAATAATCTTCCATCAAAAAGTCATTTTTGATGCTTATTGTCTCTAAATTAACTAGCCCGGATCTACGGGCGTTACACTTAAACATGTGTTGTCAAGCATATGTTTAATCCTTACCTTTTTTTGTTTTTGTTTTATATAGTTGGGCTGAGAATAAGGGAGAAGAAAAAGAAAATGGGAAATGGTTTGGGCCTTACTTGCTTGATTTCGATATTTTGAGGTCCAAGTTGATGATTTTTGGCCCATTGGGCCCTCATGAGGGTTCGCGACCCAATAGTGATAAGGAAAAAGGGTTTACAGCCCAATGAAGCCCAAGAAAATAGTTTACAGCCCATTAGGGCTTATGAAACCATTAACGGCCCATGATGGCCCATGAGAAAATAAGATGAGTCATTCTAGGCCCACATGACCCAAAATAATTTAGTTTCATGAATATGGGTCCAATTTGAACCCTAATAGGGTTCCTTGGCCCAACATTCCCAACTTGAAAGTTTATTGGCCCATTAGGCCCAATAAGAGGATCCTAGTCCATAGTAAACTTGAGCCTGGATTTTTAGAGTTTTCAACCCATTGTTGAATATGTGAGATGTATTGTATTAGATTTTGAACTTTACTCTGGGGTTTTGATTCAAATAGATGATTTCATTTTAGCATATATATAGTATGATTTTCACTTAAAGTACAAGTTTTACCATAGCTGATGTTTATATGAAAATAGAATCTTCTAGAGTTGTGACATCAAAATTTAAAGGAATCTCCACCAATACATCAATTAGAACAATTTATATATTTAAATATATAGACCACATAATTCCTCCAATTTCAATCCTGCAACTCTATTCCACACACACACACACAAAAAAAAAAAAAAAAAAAAAAAAAAAAAAAAAAAAAAAAAAAAACTTGATCACTTAATATGCCTTATTATACACAGTAAAACCATTATGTGCTTATTTGTAGTGATTAGTTAGACCCATTTAGGTAGCTTCTAATATAAATGTTATTATACACAGTAAAACCATTATGTGCTTATTTGTAGTGATTAGTTAGACCCATTTAGGTAGCTTCTAATATAAATGTCAACTCTGTTGTCCAATATTAGGATCACATAGGCTTAGAAATTTTGATTGGTCTTATTTCATGTTCTTGATTGCTTGTTGCCTTATTGGTAGGTTCAACTTTTCAAATCCTTATTTGGTTCGGTGTTATGCATAACATGATAGGTATCACCTTATGGAAGGATAATGTAAATAAATGAAAACAGTTAACCGGGGCAGTTTTACTATGGTGCTCGCAATGTCACCGGCAATGCTTGGTTTTTCTGGACGCAATGTAAAAAGTTTCAAAAAATTGATTTTTTTTTCTACTATCGTGACACTAATAAATTTCTCATGATACCCCTACTATGAAATCCTGCGTTTGAAACGCCCCTGAGAGTTAGAGTGTATTCTTAGGATAATCTAAGAACACTAATGAAACATATAGGTGATATCTAATTCACCTGGTAATTGAAACTCCATGTGATCTCCAAAAACAATTATCTATAGGCATGCAAGATATTATGACTTCGTACTATAGATATTTGAGTCTGAAAGAATCACAAAGGGCCTAAAGAGTTGGTGAGTGATATGTTATAGTAAAAGTAATACTAAATAAAAGATAAACATCATAATAAATGTATTACTTTGATTTCATAATGATGGTGAGTGGTGACTACTAGATATGGATGTTATGAGGTGCGTGAACTTCTAGGATTTGTTTGCTCAAAGGAAATCTGAGCTTGAGGTAGAAGAGAAGAATCAGAAGATCACAACAGCCATTGGCGAAAATGAAATCTAAGTTGGATCGAGCAACCAACCAGAAGGATATATTATCGTTCTGATTCATCCAGCAAAAGGGAAAAAGCATGAAACACCAAACCAAAACACACACACACACACACACAATCCAGATAAATGTATCAAAAGTTATTAAGAGTCCACATAATCTCAATGTGCATAAATAGACAGCGTCACCATACTCCCATAATAATCACTCCCATAATAATCAAAATCTTCTTGTATTGTGTATACAAGCAAGAACAATAATAGCACCTAGGCTACGTCAGTCTGTCTCATCACCTTCAGGATTTACAAAATTCTATTTACAGTAAAGCTTCCTTTCTATCTCCTATCTTTCCTACTGCAAATCAGGTTTAATCTTTAGATGCACGTCCTTCCCCACGTGGCATTTTCTTTGAAGCCACTGCAAGATAACAACAAAATCAAATAATTTAATCATACTAAAATATATAGACATATGTTACCCTTAACACACACACAGAGAGAGAGAGAGAGAGAGAGAGAGAGAGAGAGAGCATACAATCTTCAACATCTTTTAGTTGATAATAATGAGGCGCTATTTCCACAAGCCACTCAGGTTTCAACTCGCTGACCTGTCGCATGTACTCCTTAGTTGTCAGAACCAGTTCATGGTATACCACCCACCTAGGAAGTACCTTAAACCACCAAAAATACAAAACAAACATCATAAATCATATCAACACAAAAATAAATAAATAATAATCCACCACCTACCTGAGATAAACCAGAGCTGGGGTGAATATAAACAGTCTGCGGATGTTTAACAGTTCTATACGATCCATTCTTTTGCATCTTGGCCGAGTGTGGGAAGTATCCAGAAGTTATAGATTTCTTAATTGCTTCCAAGTCCCCGGGGTTCGACACTATTTCAATTTCAACCCTTTCCAATAACCCCTCCAGTTGATCTCTAATATCCCGTGCCCTTTTCATACTCCTCACCTGAATGTAATTCTCATAACACCACTGAGTAGAGAAGTTCGTTTCCTTCCACGAACTATAAACCTGAAAAAAATCAAAACTTATAATAATTTAATATAAAAAATTCACCAACAAAATCTAGCCACCTACCTACCTTAAGCAACGCGACATGATCCCCAACATTACCCATATGAAAATTCAATCTTGCATTATCAGCATGAACTTGTTTATCCTTAGGGCGATAAAAAATAGAGCTTCCAATAGACAACATAGCAGCAATGGAAATAATCTCATCCGAACATTTATACTTATCAGACGCCACAATCATTTTAGACAACATGGGATCAAGTGGAAACTCCGCCATTTTTCTCCCGATTTTAGTCAACTCCCCATGTTTATTAAGCGCGCTCAAAGCAAACAACAACTCCAAAGCTTTCAACAACGCCTCAGCAGGAGGTGGGTCCATGAAATCAAAATTCAACAAGTCATGGATTCCAAGACTCTTTAAACTCAAAACAACATTCGCGAGATTAGTCCGTTGGATCTCGGGAACAGTGTTGTCATCCAGATCGTTGAAGTAATTGTACGCGGTGTACAACCGGAAACACTTCCCGGGGCCCGTTCTTCCGGATCGACCCGCCCGTTGATTCGCGGATGCCTTTGAGATCGGGGTAATGAGCAAGGATTCCATTCCGGTTCGAGGGTTGTAGGATTTCATTTTCACGAATCCGGGGTCGATCACGTATTTGATTCCGTCGATTGTTAGTGAGGTTTCGGCGATGTTGGTGGCTAAAACCACTTTGCGGGCCCCTTCGGGAGTTGGTTCGAAGATTTTGGCTTGGAGTTCGGTGGGGAGATTTGCGTAAATTGGGCAGATTATTAGTTCGGCTATTTTGCTACCTAAACCACGGGTTCTGTGTTTGAGGATCTCTTCGGCTGTTTCGATTTCTTCTTGGCCGGTTAAAAAGACCAAAATGTCCCCGTCTCCTGGGGGCTGGGTGACGTGGATTTGAAGAGCTGTGACAATTGCTGCGTCAAGGTAATCAGCTTCTGGTGCTTTTGTGTAGTTTATTTCAACGGGAAAACGTCTTCCTGGAATTTTGAAAATTGGGGCTGAATCGAAATAGTCACTGAATTTTTCTGCATCTAAAGTGGCACTTGAGATGAGCAGCTTGAGGTCAGGTCGGAATCGAGCGATATCCTAGCAACAAGAAATTCATTTTAGATTTTTTAATTTTTTTTTCTCCTTAAAAGATTCAAAGAAGGATGAGAATTTTAATCTTACCTTAACTAAACCAAACAAGATGTCTGTTGACAATGTCCTTTCGTGAGCCTCGTCCACCATCACCACACTGTTTTCTTTTTCTTGTTAGTTTTTATATATTTTAAAAAGAGAAAATTAAATTATAGTTTTTGCAGTTTTGGTCCTTATCTGAGGTTTTTGTAATGATTTTGACCATATTACCTATTTATCTGATTTTTTATAAAGACTTGTTATTTGTTTTAAACTTATATGATTCTTATATTGTAAATTTAACAGGAAAGCCGAGGAGGAAAAGGGCAGAGAAAGGATAGAGAGGGCAATATAGTCATTTAGTTGAAGCAGGAACCAAACCCGTGACTAAAACCTCAATAAGTACCAAAATTGCAGAAAAAAAAAAAAAGAAATGTTTAGGGACCAAATTTGAAAATGAGCTAGACTCAAGGACCAAAAGTGTAATGTACTCTTTTTTCTTAAAAAAGTAAATAAATAAATACATACCTGTAACTCTGAAGATCAGGTTCACCAAGAAATTCTCGTAGCAACATGCCATCAGTCATATATTTGAGCACTGTTTTATCAGAAGTGCAATCTTCAAAGCGTATAGAATAGCCAACCTGAAAAACCATAAACCAAAATGTTTGTTTTCACTTTCAGAACAGAGGATAGTTAGATAGATATATTTGTTGACAAAAAAAGTTTGAAATTATTATGCATTTGAATAATACAATGTTAAATACCTCATGCCCAAGTTTGACATTCATTTCTTGAGAAACTCTAGCAGCAACACTCATGGCAGCAACTCGTCTTGGCTGTGTGCACCCTATCTGCATCAAATTCAAAGTAAGCAAAATACGTAAAACTCAAATCAAAAATATATGGAATAATTTGTTTATTTAAAGGAAAAAGATTTGAGTTACTTCAAAAATACCATTCCACGTTTTGTATATCCAGCTTCATGTAGATATTGGGGTATCTGAGTGGTCTTCCCAGAACCAGTTTCTCCAACAATCACAAGAACCTGAAAAAAGATATTAACTTTTCAAAATTCTGCAATTATTTATTAATTATTATAGTTATAGCAACAAACCAAATAATATCAGACATACCTGATGATCTTCAACAGCTTTCAGCAAAGATTCCCGATACGGATACACAGGTAAAGTTTTTCTGTCTGCCTAAAAAAGCAAAAAACAAATAGATCAAGGAATCTTGGCAATCAGAACAAGGGTAAATCGGTAAATTAATATGGTAATTTTAAGAGATGAAGGGAGGAAGCATACAAGAAGCTTCTCATGTGCTGATTTCGCTACAGCTTTTTCATATTCCTCTTCATTTACTTCATCAACATCAACCTGTAAGTAGGAGAATTAGAAATGGCTTAGACTAAATGTTACATGAATAAAACAACATATCAAATCATGAACTCATGATAAGGGAGAGACTACAACTACATACATTTACACCACCCATGACTTGTCCCTGTATGAACTCGATCTGATCCTCAAACACATAACTGCATAAAAAAACACATTAGATTTTGAAAAAATCATAGACAACTAAAAGAAAATCAACTACATACTTATAATCATCAGCTTGCTTTTTGTTCTTTGATCCATATTTTAGTGTTGCTTTTCCTGCAAAACAGTAAGACTTGGTTAGTTAACAAACAGGTTAGTAATTAGTTAATTACAAAAAATAAATAAATAAATACCAATCTGATGATCCTCCCATGCTTCTTGTTCAGCAAATGGATTCATCTTATCTCCATCTTTTGAATCTCTGAAATCACATCACATGAAACAAAATCATTTCAATTCTGAAATCACATGAAACAAAATCGTTTCAATTCCAAAAAATTACTGATTCTGACCTGTAGCGTTCCATAGCTACAGAGAATCTTCTCTCTTGATTTACTCCACCTTCATCATCATAAGCATCAGGCATACGATACTGCAATCCAAATTACATTGTGAGGTAGGTAGTAGAATAAAAAAAATAAAAAAATAAAAAGCAATGTGTATATCTAAATTAAAAATAATGAATAACCTCATTAACATTATCATCCTCTTGAGACCTCTTCTTAACTAGATCATATATTTGCTTCTTGTATCTGCACAAGTATATGATTATCAAACATAAGGTATGAAACGAAAGTAAATATTTTAATGTAAAATTTTTCAAGGAGATTGATTACCTTAGCTCACGTTGTTCAGCTTCAGTTAGCTTGACACCCTCAAATAAATATTGTTCATCTTCTATATCATCTCTGAAATTGCAAAAAAATAAGGTGAATAAATCTAGTACAAAACAATATGTATATATTAATCATCATTTACATGTATCTCCATAAAAGTTGAAATTTGTAAGAGGTGAGAGGTAAAAGTAGAGACAAAAACATTACTTGATTTCTTCCAATTTCTTCTGCTCCCTTTTCTTGAGATATTCTTGCCTCGAAACTTTTCTGAAAAAATATAATTTGAAGAAGCAAAGCATACACTTAAGTATGAAATAAAAGATAAACAATGAATGAATGTTAGAATGTTTACAGAAAAAGCTCGATTCAGATTTCAAACCTTAAAGCTCCAATGTCATCATCTTCCAAGGCATTGGCTCTCCTAATTGCCTCTTCTGTTGTCCAAAAATAAAAAACAGGAATAAGTTATTATAAAATTCTTTATAGATTTCTGTGATATATAACAAAGTATGTAATAAATAGCATACCTTCCTCCCTCTTGGACAATGTCTTTTCAGTCAGCTGTTAAATAAAACAAAGTGATGTAAGAAATAGCAAATTACATATATATATATATATATATATATATATATATATATATATATATATATAGTGAATCATGTATTGAGAATGGACAAGTAAATGATCATTTCAAGTTGTAAACCAAACCTTTGTTGTTCTTGCTGCATCTTTTTCCCTTAAATGTTGCTCCAATTCCTCTCGTTCTATTTGGTCACGTAATCTTTCTTCTTCAGACTACAACAAAGATGGAAAAGAAATTGATATCTTGATTTTTTACTTTAAAAAAAAAAAAAAGAATCATTAAAACCATTTTAAAATATGTCAGATACCTCAGACTCATCTGAATTGTCATGAGAAGCTTTTTGTTTAACCCTTCTTTCTTGTTTCAAGATTCCAGCTCCCTGAAGCACCATATATGATCAAAAACAGCAACACAATTATTACAAGAGGCACCAACACAGCAACTTACCATAAGAAATAAATCAAAATATATCAATAAAAGTACAAGCACCATGCCTCATCATCATCTTCATCTTCTTGGTTTTCACTCTTCTTTCTGAATCGTTTCACATGTTTATCAACCTTTTTCGATTGAGTGGCAACAGAAACAGATCCACCATGATCATTCTTATCATCATCATCATCATCTCCCTCCAAAAGTTTGTAACTCCTTTGTTTCCTGGCTAACATTGCAGCCTCCTCTTCTTGTTGCCTATAAAGCTATGAAATACAAATAACAATAAGAATGTTGGCAACACTAGCAGGCTGTTTAAACTATATAAAGATTTTTTTTTTTTTTAAAAGTTACATTTGATCCAGAACTCTTATGTTCAACTTTCTGAAAGATTTCTTCAGCAAATGCACGTGTTTCGTTTGAAGATGGCACTCCCATATCCTTAAGGTTACTAAATATATCAGAAGGTGATGATGCTTTCTTAGCTGCATGAGATTGAGAGAAGAATCAAGCATGTGCCAATTTCCATTAAAATTTAACAATAAAATCAATTTACAACAAAGATTATTAAGATTGAAGATAACTTACATAAACTAATTAGGTATTGAACCAGTGTGGGTTGTGAATATCCCAAGAGGGACATCAATCTGTCTGAAACCCATGTCTTCAAGTCACTCCCCATTTCTCACTACACTCAAAAACATATAACAAAGTCGATTACTAATGGTATTTTCTTTAATAAGATGATTAATAATGGTATCACATACAAATAACAATAAGAATGTTGGTAACACTAGCATGCTGTTTAAACTATATAAAGGGGAAAAAAAAACATTTGATTCACAACTCTTATGGTTAACTTTCTTCAGCAAATGCATGTGCCCATATCCTTAAAGGTTACTAGATATATCAGAAGGTGATGACACTTTCTTAGCTGCATGAGATTGAGAGAAGAATCAAGCATGTGCCAATTGCCATCAAAATTTAACAATAATACACAACAAATATTATTAAACTTGAAGTTTAGAAGTTTACAACCAAAACATGAAAACAAAAGAATTGAAGAGAACAAATGATGATTTAGGATTCAAAGTTGCAGAAAAGAATATCATCAACATCTCGAGGTATTATTGAGTTGGTTTTTAATTAAGTGTATTCAAATCTATATGACTGTATGCACCACTTTGTTTGCTCAAATGAAGAAATATTGGAACTAATAGCTTCAATTCATCTTAATAGTCTTGATCTGTTTAAGTTTCAAGCAATTAATTACTGGAAATAGTGTCTTTGCTTATGAAGAGGCAGTAACACCAGGAAGAGCCCAACTAATTTGGTCATGCCGAGTTCATTACCAGTTTTAACAGGAATTTCATCCAACGGCTTATACGCATAACCCAGAATGCCAAAAAAACACTTTGAGGAGTAGGTAAACCAATATAAATCAAAATATAAGAACAGAAGCATGAGAATTGACATTTCAGATTAAACATGAACTTGAACTAAACCGAGATTAAGCAAATAGCAAGCACGAAATTTCAGGTTAAGCAAATTGGGGTTCCCAAATCAGCAAATATTATGTTTAAACAGCAACATAAACTCATAAACTGTTATTGTGGTGTGTGTGCTACGTAGGATTGGAGATGCACGTCATTACTCTAAAGATAGACGAAGATGGAGATGTTGCAGAAGATACTCACCTGCGCTGTGATGCCAAATGCCGAGACAAAATCCCTAAGAGAAACGAGACTCACTTCACTTCGTCGATTCAACAGAGCTTCATCGCTTATGGTTCAATCTTCGTATCTTCGATGAGAGGGAAAAGCTGAGAGTGAGACGCAGTATAGCAATCAAAAGGGGATTAGGGTTGGGTTACTACCTGGGTACGCTACGTCGTATAGCCATTCTTCCATGTATTATTTTTTTTTAGTATATATTAGATCTTAAATAATCAAAAATATATATTATGGGTTGGTGTTTATGGATAATTCTTAGGTTGGTTTCTAAAGTACTAACCGGAACCAAAACGATTTTGATCTAGTTTTTGTTTTTCGGTTTCATCAATTTTTTGTTAGTCTTTAGGTTTTCAAGTTTGATTTTACTTAGCCTTAAGGCCATTGGGTGTGGTAACGGGTGAACATATCTCCACATCATTATCAAGACTTGTTCACAATGCATTCAATATAGTTGGAAATGGTGTTCACTGGTGAACACCTAGGGGCTGTTTGTTTTTATTTTGTGAAGAGCTACGCAACCACTTTTGTCTGTGTCGCGCAGACATATGTCCTCGCAGAGTGTTTGTTTTATGGAAGTGCGCAGACCAAAAAAACGTCTGCGCGAGGTCTTCCTGGCGCAGACATGGGTCACTGTCTTCAAAGGTCTTCAGACCTCATTTTAACAAAAAAAAAAACACCTGTTTTTTTTTTTTCTTTCTCTTTTTGCTGAAAATGCATTTTTAATCTTTATGACATGAAATTAAGTTTGAAAAATTAATATATTTCAACAGCTGCAGACGTTAAAAACAAACAGTCTTCTTATTGCAGACTGCAGACATTTGGTTCACCTCTTCTGCCGCAGAGGCTTGCAGATGTGGTCTGCAGACTGCAAACATTTTGGCTTCAAAAAAACAAACAACACCCTAGTGAACAAGAGAGAAACGGAAGAGAGAGAGAGAGAGAGAGAGAGAGAGAGAGAGAGAAAGAGAGATAGAAGTAAATGATTTTGATTGGTTGTAACAACTCGTGATTGGCTTCAATCCACACCACCATTACACCTAGTGGGGGTGGTGTTCACTAGTGAACATCTCTTCCACATAGGATTCCTACGCGTGAAATGAAGTCCATGCCTCATGGCCTAATGAAACATCAATTTGTCTAAAATCCAAGTTTTCAAGTCACTCCCTAACTCTCATTACACTCAAAAACATATATTATAATATATTACTAACTATTTTTTAATAAAATGGTAATTGTAAATAATTATGGACTTCAATGGCTGGGAAAAAATTGTATTCTCTAGCCTTTAGTAGTGTATAATCGATACATAAAAACAATAAGATATTCAAGGAAATATATGATACAAGAAGATATGCAAAACTATGAGGATCAATCATTGGCTTTTATCCAAGTAGTATTTGGTAAAAAGCTTGAATTGCATGATTTTCTTAACACTTCATGTACAACTAAAATCATTCAATAAATTTATACATGAAGTTAAGTAAGAGGTTAAAAACAACTACCCTTTTTGTATAGATAAACTTATGTATTGAAAAAATTCAAATGGCTGAAAAGGCATGTTGTGTTTGCGATTTTCGAGGTTCTTGGAGCAAAATAATCTAAGACATTAGCCAATGTAAATCCTACTCAAAAGTGAACTCCCGCTAATCATTGATTGGGGAAATATGATGGTTCTTATATTAAAATGGGCAACGATTTAGTTTCTTCACCCTTCCCCCCCCCCCCCCCCCCCCCAAAAAAAAAAAATCCCCAAGGGGGGAGGGGGTGCTTTTCATTGGATTTTTGAAATATGATAAATGTTGGTTTTATAAAGATTTATTCAAGGCAAAAACATTAGTTCATAAACCATAATCCAAAATCATAGTTATAAAGAAAAGCATCGTGAAATCTCAAATCATAAAACTGGTGATGTGTGTGTACAGTCACGCCTTTATCTTTCCACAATTTGATAAAGTACATGAAAAAACATTTAATCCACAAATATAATCTAAAGCTTAGTGATTTTCCCAATATATCACATACAACACATAATAACCATACATAACTAGTGTCATAAACCGTCCGTTGGACAGGTTGACAAATGTATAAAAAATAAATTGATTTGTTTGGTTTTTGTTTTTGTGAACCGGAACTTTTGATCCACACTATTATGTCCTTTATTCTTGAAGTAATACTTCCAACTTTTTATGCAATACATGTAATTCAATGCACTTCTAATGTATTGACATAAAATACCCATTATGCTTTTTCTTCTTAAAATAATCCAAACAATAAATTTGTCCTAATTTCCTACCATAATTACCTTTTTCCAGTTCTATATTCATAAAATGTTGATAAGAAATTCCCCAATTATAATTTCTTGTTTATAATCTCATTGTCTATATGAAAGATAACAACCTTCTTAAAATTTAAATACATTTTCCACAAACAATAAACATAATGCTAAAAAACTTCCATCTCCTCTTATAGCTTCATCTTTCTTCCAATTCATTACCTAAAAAATGTTCCAACAAACATTATAATTAGTACATAATAGATATGGAAATAGCAACATACTTACCCTTTCAAAATAATAAATTATAAAAACATGATTTGGATTCAACCATTATAAAATCCCAAGTCATTTAAATCCTTCATCACAATTTAATGCCTACAAAAAATATAAAACCATAAAGATTCTAAGATTTAAAAAAAGCTTATGATACATTCTACTATAATCATAAGAGGAATTACCTTTGTCTCTTGTTATATGATATTCGCGCCCATCCATGATTTGGTCAAATACTTAAATATAAGCAAACCATTAGCCATTAGTATAAGTTAGTTAACTAAGGGGTCGTTTGATAGTTGCTGACTGAGAAAGTGCTGACTGGAAAATGTATGTCTGAGTAATAAATTCTGACTGAGGGTGTGTTTGATAAAGGTCTGACTGGGTCAAGTCAACGGATTGGGCTGACTCGGTCAGACCATAAGTGTTTGAATTGTTGCTTTCTCGGTAAGATTGGCTGGCCCAATTGCTTTCTCGCTCAGTATCTTAACAACCGCTGACTGGAGACATTAGACGATCCTACCCCTCCCTCTTTATTCTTTCTTCCATCGTTCCCTGACCTAAAAACACAACCACATATAACTCCACATCGTATCTCCAATTGAACGCTAAACAGAGGTCGTCGGTCGGACCTCTGCCATCCTGCCGATTGCACCTCCGCCAGACTTTTCTTCCATCTCTTCCATTTGTGACACCATCTCGACGCCATCAGGTAAGATATTCTTCTTTTCTGTTAATAATTGTTAAAATCAGATACCATTTATGCTTTGAAGTTCTTTATGAAATCAAGATACTTTTTTGTTAGAATGTTATGAATTCTTTATGAAATCATAATTGTTTTTCTCTATTGTTATGAAATTTGTATCCTTTTTTGTTGGATTGTTATGAAATACGTATAAGCTATGAACAAGTTTCATGTTTTTTTGGTTGTATATATGCTTGACAAGATCATACGAAATAGCTCTTAGCAAGTCATGTTTTTTTATTGCAAATAAGCTGATTTGAGAACTTAAAAAAGTTCATATGACATTATTTATGCTTAATAGGACACTGGATTGCTCTAGTATGTCTTCCGGTTTTATAAGTACATAATTCCATATAAAGATAAATGGACTTGCACATGATGGATGTTGATATATGATTAATTTTTTGTTTGTACACTTTTATGATTGAATTAAGTATACTTGATCAGATTATGATTATCATTGTGTTTGTTAATTACAACTCTTTATAATTCATGTCATGTTGTATTATTATCAAATATGTATAAGCTATGATTAGATGTGCTATTGTTATGAAATTTGAATCTTGCCCTCTAATTTCTTCTTCTTCTTTCATTTCGGTGGGATCTTTACAGTGACATATTGAATAAAGATTTTTGGTTACTGATTTATAATTTTTTTTTTTTTAGAAAAGGGCAGTTTGATCTTTTTTTGATTAATTTCAAGATTAGCAAGTATAAGCAAGGTCTGTTGGTTCTCAATTGGTTTTTCTAGATCAATAAACTCAAAATTAGTAGATTATTGAAGATATGGATGAGAGGATTTGTTTTTTACAAGACATATGGTCAAAATTCTATGCTCATGGAATGGTTTGGAATAAAAATGGAGCAGGGGCAATTTGGTCAAAGTGTTATTCTTATGTTTACTGTTGCTCTGTATGAATTTTGGTCAAAGAATAAATCGTTTGAATTGTTGAAAAACAATGAATTTATTTATAACTTTGTAAAAACAATGATTTTTTATAACTTCTATTTGGAATTTTTTAAGGATTTGTGTGTAATTTACATCACCCTTTAGGGCAAAGGGTAAAATGGTCATTTTTTATTAGTCAGGTCATTCAGTCAGACGTAGAATCAAACAACATGGTTTCTTATTCAGTCAGGATTTCTTACCCAGACAGACATTTCTTAGTTAGCACTTTCTTAGTCAGCAACTATCAAACAGGACCTGAGTAATAAACCATGATGTTTGATTGTATATCTGATTAAATGTGTTGACCGGTGCAAAATGACTATTTAACCCTTATGTTGTATATAATAATAATAATAATAATAATAATAATAATAATAATAACAACAATAACAATAATCCCCTATCCTAATAAATAAGTATAATACGTCCACGTGTCACTCTCCCAGCCCTCTAAATCGTGTTTTCCCGCTCAAATTATTAAGTGAATTCCCGAAAATACCCATTGGTCGATTCAACTCACGTTTGAGAAAAATTAGGAACGAGTTTTGCGTTTAAAATAGAAACAGATTCCTCTATTTTACTTATATCTTCTCCTGTTTTTTCTCCTTTTAAATCTGTGGAGTTGTAATCTCCTAGAAGATATAACCCAAATCTCCTTAAATCGGATATATATCACCAATACAAATTAGTAGATTACTTCATTCTTTATTCTTTATCTCCCCCGTTTCTCACTATAACCAGAGGACTAAGGGTGTGTTTGGGATTGCTTTTTGGAGTGAAAAGTCCTTTTGTAAAAAGAACTTTTTATAAAAGAACTTTTTCTAGAAGAAGGTATTTAAAATGTGTTTGGATAGACTTTTAAGACTTTTAAGAGATAAAAGTCAAAAGTCACAAAAAGATAGGATTTCATGACTTTTTAAAAGGCTTCTTTTTAGGCATGACTAAAAGTTAGTTTAAAAGGACTTTTCTATTTTGCCAAACATCTTTTGAACTTTTTTAACTTTTTAGAAAAGTTAAAAGTCCAAAAGTTGTTTTAAAAGCAAAGCCAAACACCCTCTAAGAAGGAGAAGCCGAATTTTGGTAAAATAATTCTTGTTAAGCAACAACCAGAACAGATCATGATTGATCTCTTCCAGGAGATTACAACTCCAAAAGCTTCAATTTTTGAGATTCCGACGAGGCTGAGCGCAGATCCGAGCATTGTTGATCTTTCGGGTGAAGGATGTTGTTTTAAATCCCCATTTTTATGGTAATCATCGATGTTTTTCGTCTCCATTAATTTCCTTATCCTCGAGCAAATCCAATCAGATGTAAACTTTAATCGTTGATCTGCTAATTAGGGTTTCATCGAACTGTTTTGGAGTTGAAGATGGAACTGTTTTGAAAACCTTCAATCATCTCCTTCATAGAAATAGAAAGGTGGATTTCATCGAACAGTTTAACGAAAAGCTTCTTGTGAAACAAGAGAATGAAAATCTTCATATTCTTGATGTAAGAATCTATTCTTTTTACCTATTTGTGAATAAAACATTTGAAAGATCTTGACACCACTGTTTATGTATTTATTTAGGTACGTAATTCTGAGTTAACAGAAGTGAGTAGAACAGAATTCATGACACCATCAGCATTCATCTTTCTATATGAGAAGCAGCTGTTCTTGACATTCAGGAACAAAACAGTTGATGTTTGGAATTTTCGTGGGGAGCTTGTGACATCATTTGAAGATCATTTATTATGGCATCCAGATTGCAACACCAACAATATATATATCACAAGTGATCAGGATCTTATTATTTCATATTGTAAAGTTGATTTTGATGATCCTTTAACAGAAGGAAGTGGTAAATAAATTACTACACTATTTCACATATTCATTACTCTCTTTAATAATCAACAAATTAATATTTTTATTAATGGTGCAACAGCAGGATCGATCAATATCAGCAATATTCTAACAGGAAAATGTCTAGCAGATCCAAAGTTTCACTATTTCAGATAAATTTAATTGATTAGCTTGGCAGTTATTCCATCCTAAGTCCTTCATTTCAACCTTGGGATTCAAACTCGAAACCATTATAGCAATATACTTAAATATAAAAATATTTTTTATGCATGTTTCTGTTCAACTGTGCTGATATATGTGTTACATTTTCTGGAATCGTAGACAGTGTCATATTATGGAGAAAGTGCATTTTGGTCCTTTTATAGAAAAATGAAATTTAATAACAAAACTTTATAAAATATGCAGAAAAATAGCATTGTACTTTATAAAAATATGATTTTTAAATTTTTTTACAAAGGAAAGTACAATGTTTTTGCTTTGTGACTATGTGTTGTAAAAAAAGTTGCAACAAATGTGACTGTTTTGCCCTTGCTCAGAAAACTAATTCTAACTAAAAAAATCAACATGTAACCCTTGGTCCAAAACTACTCAATAATTTGCTAATAGTCACATTTGTTGATTTTTATATACATTTTGGTTAAACATGAACTATTCCTACAAATGCGTATTTTTTAAAAAAAATTACCATAATACCCTTTTAGCTCATAATTGCATTAGAATTTGATTTCCCAACTCTGATGTATTATGATTTTGCTGCATACCCTATTGTAGACTCTAAAAATAAAAGTATCCATTTGGAACTTGCTACCAAGGTAAGATTTTTACCTATGATATTATATTGGTTGTCTCTATTTAAGTATACATCTAAGGGTTAGCATATTCAATTGAGTTTTAACCACCCTTATTTGTTTGGATTCCATGTGTTTCTCAATGACAAAAGACAAAAAAATCAATTTATGATCACTTTTTCAAAGTTGAAAAATTATTTCCAATGATAAACCAACCAAATATCTACAAAGTGCCAAAAATTATTAATTAATGTTTAATGTCTACATCATTATTGTCATCATCTTTGATAAGTATGTAGCTTTTATTTTATTTGTTTATTTATTGAAATAGTTAATTTATTCATTATAGATTTTTTGTATTTATGTAAGATTATTACTAAAAAACATGTAATTCTTAACAATTTATATTAATTTTTTTTAATAAAATCCTTGTAATACACGGATCTTACACCTAGTAATATTAATATTAGTAATGATGTCGTGTACACCTTATACACATTTTGTTTATTTGTCTTTTTCCTTCCTGATTGATAATTTGATATCCAAAAAAACATGTATACTTTTTGTTGCTTCTTTCATTTGTCTTTCTCTTTCTTTTTCTTCCTCCTTACTGTCAAAGAGTCAAAGAAGAAGCCACACCCAAACATGAAATACTTGTTGGTGGTTGTTTTCCTTTTCCGACAAGATTAAAGAGACAACAACCTCTTGCACCTCTTTTTTCCGGTGAGATCAAAGAGGCAACAAACTTTTCGCGTTATGTCTGATCAGGAAAGAAGAAGCAACACAGGAGCTACCGGAGCAACCCCCCTTCGACAGATCTGCCATCACCGGTCTAATCTTCTCTACCCTACCTTCCCCTTTGGCCCTTTCGTGTTTCTTTTTGCTAATCCTCCACCAGACCACATTGTTTGCTGCCTCTGTTCGTGTTTCTTTTTCCCTTTCTAGGGATTAAAATGATGGCTAAGAGGAACGACAATGTGAGGTTGGTGCTGATTCAAGGGAAATGGTGGAATCGATTTCATACTTTCTCAGTCAGTAAGATTTTTTGTGTCGACCGAGTCAGACGACATTGTTGACTCAGTCAGATGCAAAAAGAAGACATATCAAACACATGGAGTTGACCGAGTCAGACATTTTTGTCTGACCTAACCCAATCAGATCCAAATCAACCAGCCTAAATTGAGCAATTTACCTTAATAGTCAACGACATCCAACACCTTGGAAAACACGGTGAAAAGTTACAATTTAAAACAAATTTATAGATGGAAACGAAGAAGAAAATACCGACTTTTCCCCAACTACAAGTAAAGAAGGTTTTGGAGAAGTGGAATCTTCTACAAGCAATAAAAGCTTCATCCTTTTAGCATGGAAAACAAATACCAAGTTAGTTCCACAAAAAAGATAGTAAAATTAACATAATATTAAATCAAATAAACTTAAATATGAGTTTGGGGAACTGAATTAAGAAGAAAACTAAAGCAACCCAAACCTTTTTTTCCTACGATTTTGGAAGTTTTTATAACTCGGACTTCTAACTCTGTCTTCAATTCATTAGCATACTTTTTTTTTCGATACTTCCATTTTAGAAATATGTTTTTTTATAAAAAACTGAATCAACGTAGACTTGGAAATGACATGGAAAACGACATATTCCAAATACAAAAAATGAATGGACAAATGTTATGACCATTTAAATTATATCAATAATGTATGTATACATGTCATCATCAGATGGATAAAAGAGGAAACATGTCATTTTTAGATGGATAAAGAAGGATTCTTAACATACTTTTTTTCCAACATGACGACCGATTGCTATTTCTATGTCGATCAACCGATCATTAATTTCATTGATATATTTTTTGTTGACAATATACTCTAAAGAACCTCCAATAATGTGCTAAAAATGAAAAGATAACATTAATCGAAAAATAGACATGTCGTCAAGTATTCGAATAAATGCAAAAAATGGAAAGATTGCATTAATCGAAAAGCAGCCATGTCATAAGCCATTTGAATAAAACTTCAATCGACAACTTCTTGTTCTTCGTCACCAACTCATACTAAAAGAAATATGAAATCGTGGATTAGTCGGTGCTTTCATATTCTTAATCAAAGACCAAAACACATGCATAGGCTAGAGTTAATTTATAATTTATGCTTAAGTGTCACGTCTAATTACCGACATGTTCAAAGGAACACACAACATTGAGATAATATCATTTGGTGCGGAAGTAGGGAACATCTCAATAAAAGAATCCAAAATCTTTATATAAAAACAATTACAACAATTAAGTAATCCATTCGACAGTCGGTATTCTCTAATACTATTATCGAGCATCAAAATTGTGACAACCCGAGAATTTTTTGCTTTGAAGACACAGTCAATCAACTCAACTGGGTGTCAAACTCATTAGTACGGAGTTCTAGCCCGGTTAAAGGTCATTCTAAGGAGTTTTGAGCCTAATACACTTAAGGAATAAGTGTTAGGAAGTACCAGCTAGGACCACAGTGTAACATGCAAACCTTAAACTCCATCAAGAGGAGTTTATAGCCAAGTTACCAAGAGTTTATAGCCGTAAACTCAAGGGGGCGTAAACTCACCTCTCTCTCTCTCTCTCTTTCTCTCTCTCTCTCTCTCTCTATATATATATATATATATATATATATATATATATATCCTTTCATTGGCCAATTTTCTCTCATTCTCTCTCAACTATCATCCCGATCTTCAAAAATCGTAAGTGTTCTTTCTTCAGTTGTTATTAATCCTTCTTAACTAGCATCATCTCCTGATTTTATCCATAAAAATCATGTTTGTATAGATATTCAAGTTCCACCAAGAACACCAAGAACACACACTAGTGTTCTTAGCTAATATCAACCATTTCAAGCTTCTAGATCACAAGTGTTATTCCCTATACTTCATATCTAGTTAGTATCCATGCTTAGACACTTGAAAACATCAAGAACACAAGATCAAATAGAGTTTACGGCTAGGCCATCTCCTAAGGTCGTAAACCCCTTTTAGGTGCCCATTTGGACCATAAACCCTATAGGATGCAAGGCAAGTTACCCAGAACCCTTCCTTTATGATTGAAGGACCTTAAACTTCACTCAAATCCATCATGACCATGAGTTTACGATCGTAAACCCCTTTGGGCCGTAAACTCATCAAAAGCCTCATTTGAGGTGGTCTTTCTCATGCAAGTATAGAACAAAAGTCCCAAAGCATCCCTAGCCTTCAAACTCACTCTTAGCCATGTTTGACCATAAGTTTATGACCGTAAACTCCCTTGGGCTGTAAACCCATGGTAGTAAACTCATGTGAGTGCCATCTACCTTCCTTTGTTGAATCACATGTGATTCCAACACTTGGTCAAAGTGTTTCCTAGTCCCGGAAGGTGTTTCCTTTCATATAGTTGCATATAAACACTATATTCATGCCAATATGTGTCATTATATGTCATTTAGGACTTGTGTCTCGGGACTTCATTCATAGAACTTCTCATCCTTACATGCATACCCGTTTGAATCACCCACATCAAGTGAGTTCATACCCCGTAATGAATCTTTTAACTGTTTTAAATGCTTTTAGGGGGGGATACAAGTTGAACACAATGATAATTATGTAATTATTTGTTATAAATATTGTTCAAAATGTTGCTTATGTCTTCTATAAGTGGTCAAAACATCTCAAAAACTATTTTACAGTTATGTTGCTTTATAGTTTAACAAAACTCCGTTTTTAAAGTACAAGCATAACTTTGTAGTAAAATGAGTCTTTTCAATAACAGTTCAAGTAAAATACCAGTAAACTATAAAGGGTATAGTTTAGAGAGTTAGTTCATACTAGATACAATACACGATAACATAAGAGAACACACAATAAAGATAAACACGGAGGAAGATACAATACACGATAACAAAACAAACATAACAAGGTGTTATAACATGGAACAATTACAGGATCTAACTATACCAATGAATCACTAACACATTGTTCTAAACAAAAGATGATAGTTATATTGGGTATACATGATCACATAATCTTAATGTAGATGTTTACGGCTTGCAATTATTGCAGACGTCGCGTTTGGTTCCCATAATCTTTTGACAGGGAGAGCATTTAGTATGGGATCTAGTCATCACATTATACCTTAATACTCAATTTAAGGCAATTAATACATTAGTAGTCACTTTATAATATACTACAATATTTACAATTTACAAACGACAAATAGAACAGTCGGGTCTAGTACATTCAGTAGAAAAGGACCATAATGCTAACCTTATGATTCCCTAATGTATACATTAAGGGATATATATATATATATATATATATATATATATATATATATATATATATATATAGTATCCGACAGGGAAGAGGATGTGTGCCTTCCGCTTTATTTCCTGTTCATCGTTTGGTTGTGGGCTTAGAGCAGATTCACCCAACCTATTATCTATTCGATTTTAGTTATATATATGTTTTGTACACATTAAGTCATCATAAGGGGTACCAGGTATGGGTCAAGTCATAGGATACTAATTCAATGCACACTTTTGCTAGTACAAAACATACTTTTCAAACAGAACTTTGGATATACAAAACTAGAAACTTACCAGTAAAGGGTTTAATCCATTTTATTAAACCAGTGTAGACTTAAAGGACTTTAGGTGATTGACTTTGTAATACCTTGGTTTATACATCATGGTTATATATCATTAATACCCAATAGGCCGTTGGATGTGTGTTTTCCACCTTATTTCTTGTTCCTTGTTTTGTTGTGGGCTTATGGCAAATTCACCCAATTAATTATCTATTCAATATTGGATTATATATAGCCAATATAAACTAAGTAATTATAGAAGTAATCACTGTGGTCACTATTTTACTATAAGAAATAAGGGTTTTCTTAAAGAATCTTTTCATAAAATATAAAGGAACCATTACAATTAACTCCATGAGTAACAAGCAAATACACTAGGGTTATATACAATAAAGACCTAACAAACAATGGGATGTGTGCTATCCACTTTACTTCCTGTTCCTTGTTTGGTTGTGGAATTAGGGCAGAAGCGCCCAGTCGATGTTTGTTTACTCCGAGTTTTATATAACTTGTATTCATTTAGTACTCATAGAAAGGATTGTAGAATCATTTTTACATATCTTTCATCTAAGTAGGAAATATAGGATTTTCTAGAGGAACATGCAAACTTTTCTACACATAACTTCCACTTTACATAACTTATAACTTACTACATTTTTCAACTACATTTTACAACAAATTTCTACAACTTACTTACATCACTAAAATCTTATGAACTCACCAGCTTAATTGCTGACAA